ACCAAAAATCTTAACCTTATTATGTTGTTTTATATAATTCTTACAAACAACACATAAAACAATGATATTTAAAAATCTTCAACGTTTATAATTTGATCAAAGTTGACGGTTATTTTTTCCCTGATTTTATTAAATCCGTGCTCATACTTTAAAACACATCTTCTACACTTATCTTATTTAGGTAAATTTTAATATTATCCCTTCATCCAAACCTAGTTCTAAGAAATGGTGTCTTCCTCTTATATTCTGCAACTAAAATTGTTTTTGCGTTCTGTATTTCTCTCATACGTAGTAGGTAGCCCATTCATCAGTCCGTAAAAGATTAAATCACGAGAAAAACATTCTGTTGCAAATTATGGCACTCTCATTATAAAATTTTATCCAGTCGTCTGCTATTTCATTTTTCGTAAGTTCAGTTACCTTACTCAGTACATTGTTCTCAAACACCTTTCGCAAATATATTGATAGAAGATCATTTAGTATAATTACAGATAGCACTACTTTCAGGTTCATACTTTTTGGCACTGATTTAGCTAAGAAATTGACTAGGCTGCAGGCTGGACGACTGAGATCCGATTCCCAGACCTTTCTCGCCAGCGTGATGAGACCAACTCCCATTCATTGGTTATCGGGAGCCGCTTCCCTCGGATTAAGCGGCCAAGGACTGAATCGTCCACTCCACTCCATCTGTTGACGAGAAAAGGAAGGCGCAGCTCTGTTCCCCTACTCACTCTCACCCCTTAACCAGCAAGTGCATGAAGTTAAAAGAACGTCTTTTGTTACGTACATCGATGTAAACTGTGCATCACACGAAGCAAAGAAACAAAAATAAAATCAAACTTTAATCTTTGTTCGGTACTAACTAAATGAACTGCCGATAAATATCCAGTGTTTTGTTGTGTCTTAAGGTAAGAATCCACACGTAGTGAAGAGCATGTTGTATGAACTTTACTACATATTTTCTTTCTTCTCACAAAATTCATAGGCCTGGGCTATGGATATAAATTGTATACTAGATTTTACGACCAGCCTCACTCTCCCACAACTTTTCCTTCGTCTTGTAACTCTGTCGTAATAAATAGACGCACTTCAGCAAACTCCAGACCAAGTCTCGTAGAATAAGGGGAAGAAAAAATTGGGCTTTATAAAAATTTGCGCTATCCCAAGGTTTCGCCTCTTTCAGAACAAAGTATGTAAAGTGTATTTGGAACCCGCGTGTTTTCTTTCAAGGTCCCCCCCCCCTTTTAATTGTTAGCCTACTGTCGACAGATCAGGAGAAAAACCCTTCGAGGGGAAGTCGTTTCTGGTGCGGTGCGGGGGGAATATTACTTATCGGCTGGACTAGAAGGCTGTTATTGGTGGGAAGTGTGACACGCCAGAGAGTTATGCTATTACACAGACTGAAAACATCAAGCAGTTGAGATTAGTGTGTATTGAGTGCGTCTGTTCTGAGTTCTGTGGGTGTTGTGATAATATTCTATATTCAATCACAGGTGATTTAAAGATGTCGACTGTACGTACACAGGGAAAAACTATTCACAGGGAAGCGCGGGAAATAATATCCAGCGTAGTGAAGCTGTGTGATGAAGAAGCAAGACGGAAGGAACTAAAATTTCTCTTGACCAGTGTAACAGACAGGGCAGCCAGATACGCGGGTGTATCTAAGGCTTTAATTAAGAAGGTAAGGCGAGAGTCAAAAGATAGAGACGAGAAGGGCACACTGTCACCTTTACACACGCCAGGGAAACACCGGCCTTGACCTACTGACAGGCATGTCAACATTGACTCGTTTGATATGTCAGTGATAAGGCGGACTGTGCAAGAATTTTACGCAATGCAGAAGAAAGTTCCAAGCTGCCCCAAGCTACTGTCCATAATTAAACAAAAAATTGACTTTCCATGCGGTGTTGATGCTCTACGGAATATTTTACATAACTTAGGGTTTAAATGGAAGAAAAGTAAGCGCAAGATCTTGATTGACAGGCCGGACATAGTAAACTGGCGAGGGAGGTATTTAGTGAATATTAAGACGCTTCGCAATGAAGGAAGACAAATATTCTAC